CCCTCCCACACTCGTTGAATACCCACCCTTGATTTTTTGATCTGCAAAATTCAAATAAAATGCACTGATGTGCATGCTCTAAATTACAAAAGCTTGTCCTTTCAAAGACAAATTGTTTAATGCTTTTATTTGATAAATTCTTTAAAATAGATGTTTGGTAAATAGATATTATTTCCTTTCAAAGACAAATTGTTCGCCTTCCCATATTTCCAAATAAAAATAGCTAGTATTAGTAATGTATTAATGGTGTTCAAAGAATTAGAATGTCCAAATTCAGACAATTAATGCTGTCTATTTTGTATTGGATACAATTATTATCATGCCATATTTTTTTTTGGTTGCCCAAAGGTATCCTTCTAGCCAATAGCCAGAAGACTAATCTCCCATCCCTACGGTCAGCACACTAAGTGGTAGGAGACTGGCCAAATGGTTTGCTCCATTCACATGGGTGGGGATCAAACCCCCAACCTCATGCTTAAGGGACGAGGTGTTGAACCTCCACGCCAACCATGTTGGTTATTATCATGCCATATTGATAATGAATCTATCCAAAATTGTATTAATAAATTACTATTATAAGTTATCAAAAAAAAAAAAATACTATTATAATGTCGTATTCATGATAAATTTATCAAAAATTACATTCAAAGATTTTTGTGTTAAAAACGACGCTAAAACATGTATGCATCACCATGTCAGGCTAGTGTTTTTCATGCAAAAATAAAAATAAAAAGTAATAATAATAATAATAATAATAAACTAAAATTAAACAATCACTCAATTCATGAGCCGAAATGAAACTAAAATTAAAAACAATGATAGATGCACACAACATTTTACTTAAAAAATGTAATATTAAAAACAATGATAGATGTCAAAATCACCCCGCCTGGACGATTATTGGATGCAATGAGTTCACTGGATTTGCGTCTGCGAGAAACCCTTTCTCCGTTCAGGTGCCTCTCCACTTCTCTAAGTGATCTGAACCTTCTTCGAGTCCCTGGTTCTAAGTAATACTGCATTGAGATCGATTTGAAACTGTAAAATTATACTCTCAAAAGTTTTCAGCTTTATAAGTAAGGAGGAGTTGAATAAGGATGGAGAAGAAAAACAAATTGATTTGACCTTGTCAGATTTGGAGCCATCGGACCGGGCGACTTCATCAACACTCCAATCGGCGGGTAGACTGAATGGTGGCATTTGTAGAGGCCGCGGCTGCCGTGAGCTTGATGGTTGGAGAGAAGAAGAGATGGATTTCTCCATGCCCGTAATTCAGTGAGCGGAGAGTGTATAACTTGATAAATAGTTGGATGGAATAAATTATTAAAACAAAATGTAACATATTACTTTTGAACCGTTGACCACGGGCACTAATGACAAAACTAAGAATGAAATAGGTATAGTACCTAAAAAAGGAATAAAAATAGATGTTAAAGCACAATCAAGCTAGCGGGTGTGTACTGTGTGACAGGAAAAAAAAAACAAAAAAAAAAAAAAAAAAAAGCTGATAAGTGTTCAGAAAAAGAAAAAAATTTAAACATAGTACATTTACGTGTCTAGCAGCGCGTGCATTGCATGTGCCAGCTAGGTGAAGTGGCGGAGCCACAACGGGGGCAGCTGCCCCCACTCACCCCTCCGCAATTTCTTAATATATATACATTTATATGTAAAGATGACTACCAGGACTATGTGGTCCAATGGTACCCGGGTTGGACTTCCATTTGGAAGGTTGTGAGTTCGAGCCTCAGTGGAGGTATTATTAGCTCTTTGTGTTTCAGTAGGTTGAGAAAGTATATGAACAGATACTACAATGTCATAGAGCTAGTAGCATTCAAAAAAAAAATTTTAGCAGCTCAAGAACCTTGGTTATGATATATAAAATGGCATGGGTTCGAAACCCACCTCTAGCACTATTCTTTCTTCCCACCTATTAATAAATGTTTCTTTTTTAAATTAAAGTATTTATTAATATAATTTCTTTTCTATTCAAACTATTTTATCTAATTGATTATATTTAATATTTAATATTTATGAATATAATTTCTTTTCTATTCTAAAGATTTTATTTAATTTAATTGATTATGTTTTGTATTTTGCTATAAATATTTTTATAACATTTCAAAGTGTTTTAAAATTTCACCATATCCAAGTATAGTTTTGGCTCTGCCTCTAAGTAGTCTATCATAAATATTTTATTATAATTTATATTATATTTGGACCATATTATAGGGGTTTGATATTTGGCATTAACAATTCTAACATCATTTTAAGTATGCCCCACTGACATAATTTTCTGGATCTGCCACTGGCTAGGTGCGCACGAGGTGCGCGTTTTATCTCTTCATTTCTCAGTCGTCTAGCAACAACAATGAGGCCCACAAAAATACAATATTCGCAGGAGTTAAAAACTAACTACACAAAAAAAAAAAAAAAAAAAAAAAAAAAAAAAAACCTCCCACACCAGTTAAAAACCAACCCTTGCTTTTTTTTTTTTTATTTGTAAAATTCAAATAAAATGCACTGATGTGCATGTTATAAATTACAAAAGAAAAACGAAACGTACTATTTTTTAACTGTTGACCACAGGCAATGGTAACAAAACTAAAGATGAGATAAGTAATTAAAAAAAGAATAAAAATGAATGTTAAAACACAGTCCAGCAAGTGAGTGTGTATAGCGTGACAAACAGTTGCAGTAAATTACTAAAGCAAGACGTAACGTATTGTTTTTGAATTGTTGACTATGGACAATGATGAGAAAACTAAGGATGAGATAGGCATCTAAAACAAGGAATAAAATTGGATGTTGAAACACAATTCAATTGTGTTCAAAGTGTGATCCAATATTTAGTACCTAAAAAGGAATAAAATATAAGTACCAAGGAAAATAGATGTTTGGTAAATAGATATTATTTCCTTTCAACGACAGATTGTTCGCCTTCCCATATTTCCAAATAAAAATAGCTAGTATTAGTAATGTATTAATGGTGTTCAAAGAATTGGAATGTCCAAATTCAGACAATTAATGCTGTCTATTTTGTATTGGATAGAATTATTATCATGCCATATTGATAATGAATATATCTATCCAAAATTGTATTAATAAATTACTATTATAATGTCGTATTCATGATAAATTTTTATCAAAAATTACATTCAATGTTTTTTTTGTGTTAAAAACGACGCTAAAACATGTATGCATCACCATGAAAGACTAGTGTTTTTCATGCAAAAAAAAAAAATAAATAAATAAATAAATAAAAATAAAAAATAAAACTATACATTCACTCAATTCATGAGCCAAAATGAAACTAAAATTAAAAACAATTATAGATGCACACAAAATTTTACTCAAAAAGTGTGATATTAATTTTCATTAAAGTAGGCTAATCCACTAATAACGAAATCACTTGAATATGTAAATGTTATAGACTCTATTACATTGAATTATCATATGACGAATATTAATTAAGAGGTGCCAGCATTTACATTCATTTTCAATTATAACATCTTTTCACCTTTTTAATAAACAGTGAGATATGCCCGCATGAGTAGCTCAACTGGTCATAGAGGTGAAACTTTGGAATAATGACCAGGGATCGAGTCTCACCAGCGGCAGTGTGGGAGCAACCTCTGAAAGTGAGGGGGGTTCCTTGTGCGTAGTGAGCACCGGTCTAGCCTCTATGGTTCATGTTCAGTTGAGTCACCATGATTTACATCCTCCCAAATGCTCTGCCGGGGTGTGGGCCCAGTCACCATGATTTACATCCTCCCAAATGCTCTGCCGGGTTGGGGTTGGGGCTCTTGGTGAGTATGTATTGTGATTCCTGGACCAGCATTCAACCCATGCACCCTAATTCGGCAAATTATTCCTTGAACCTGGACCATTTTGTAAGGTGGACCTGAATTCAAAAATACACAATTTATATATTGAATGTTCACAATTTTATATACTAAATGTTCATAATTTACAATGCATACTGAATATTCACAATTCAAATTGTGAACATTCAATATATAAATTATGAACATTTAATAAGGTAGACTTGGGTCCATATATATCATAACTATTGCCCTAATTCCCTCATCTGTTTCTTAATTTTGGTTGTGGTTCGATCGATTTCAAAACCGAAAACTACCGATTTGGAACTGGAATCGAATCGTGAGCATACCTGCTATCGACTCCTCCTCGACTCATGGTGAATTATACTCTTTCTTCTCTAATTCATGTGCCTCTTAGGAAATCTCCCCGCTCCATCTGCAAACCTTTACAATCATCTTCTCCACACACACTAGTTTCATTATAGCAATAACAAAGTATCATTTTAATTCTATTACAATTTTAATTGACAATATATGTTATTGCATTAGCTCTAGTTTTTAGTTCACACACACTAGTTATTATATTGTTTTGGACTTTAGTTTCATTTTTCATACACACTAGTTTCATTATAGCAATACTAAATTATCATTTTAATTATACTACAATTTCATTTGACAATATACCTATACCTATGTTTTTTTCTTTTGTTTTTTATTTTTTTATTTTCCTTTTGAAAAACCTAGTTTGCAATTTTTAACTTTTGCCACATCATATTCTCTTTCTTTCAATTCATGCCACCAAGTAATCAACTCAAAAACCTTCATTATATTATATTGAAACAACCCATTAAACGTTTTCAAATTAAAAATAAAAATAAACATTGAACAATATGAAATTAAGAAAGATATATAAAATTAAACACTATTCTTGGATCTAGTCATATATAGACAAAATCCTGGTGATGATATGCTAGTTTCTTGGTGCGAGAAGAACGCCTTCTTAGTCCTCCCTCTTCCTCCTCTTGCCTTTGCTGAATAATATTTTCCTCCGCCGCTGCTGCTTGCGGCGGCTGTTGCGGCTGGGTTGCCCTAACGGCGGAGCTCTCTTCTGCATTGTTAATGGTCGACACAAATCTCTTTCTCCATTCTCGCTTTACGGCATCGGAGATCAATGTATCATCAATGGAAGGATATATTCCAGGAATCCCCTCGAGGATTAGCAATTGCCCAATTCACTTTCGATGGAGGAGAGCTCTCCAACCACTCTTCTCTAGGTGTCAAAACCACCCCGCCGGGACGATTATTGGATGCAATGACTTCACTGGATTTGCGTCTGCGAGAAACCGTTTCTCCGTTTAGGTGCCTCTCCACTTCTCTCAGTGATCTGAACCTTCTTCCAGTCCCTGGTTCTAAGTAATACTGAATCAAGATTTCAAACTGTAAAATTGTACTCTCACAAGTTTTCAGCTTTATAGATAAGGAGGAATTGAATAAGCTAAGGATGGAGAAGAAAAACTTAGAAAATTAATTTAACCTTGTCGGATTTGGAGCTATCGGACCTAGCAACTTCATCAACACTCCAATCGGCGGGTAGATTGAATGGTGGCATTTGAAGAGGCCGCGGCAGCCGGGAGCTTGATGGTCTGAGAGAGGAAGAGCTCGATTTCTCCATGCCCAGCAATTCAGCAAGCTCGGGTGTGTGTATAGCGGGATAAATTGTTGGATTGGAGTAAATTATAAATGCAAAAAGTAACGTATTATTTTTGAATTTTTGACGGCGGGCAATGATGACGAGACTAAGGATGAGATAGGTACCTAAAAAAGGGAAAAAATGGATGTTATCAAGCAAGCGGATGTGCATAGCGTGATAGACGTTGTAGTATATTACAAAAACAAAACGTAATGTACTTCTTTTGAATTGTTTACTATGAGCAATGAGAAAACTAAGGATGAGAGTGACATCTAAACAAGGAATAAAAATGAATGTTGAAACACAATTCAGTGTTCCAAGTGTAATTCTAAATAGGAACAAAATATAAGCACCATATAATTGAGAATTTTGTGATTAATTTTGAGGGGATTGTTCACTGTATTTGAGACAAAATACCATGGTGGATGAGAGAGAAATAAGTGAGAGAAGAATTGGGTTGGTTCTATTATTTGGGAGTTTTGTCAATTGGTGGGGCCCATCATATTAAATAAGAATTAAGGCTGCGTGAAAGCCAACTAGCGCCCAACCAGATTGTTATGTTGTGTAACCGTGTGCCAGCTAGCGTCCAACCGGATTGTTATGTTGTGTAACCGTGTGCCAGCTAGCGTCCAACCTGATTGTTAGCTAGCGTCCCCGGATGGTTATGTTGTGTAACCATGTGCCAGCTAGCGTCCAACCTGATTGTTATGTTGTGTAACCGTGCTTGGTGCACACGGGTCTAGTTTTTTTTTTTTTTTTTTTTTTTTTTTTTTTTGAATGCTAGTCTATTACAATGTAGTATCTGTTCATATACTTTCTCAACCTACTGAAACACAAAGAACCAATAACGCCAACCCGGGTACCATTAGACCACAAAGATTCATAATTTAAATACAGTAGATTCATAATTTTTAAATCGTAGATTCATAATTTAAATACAGTAGATTCATAATTTTTATACATTAGATTTATAATTTCTATACTGCAGATTCATAATTTCTGTACTGTAGATTTATAATTTCGATCTAAACTGTATAGTTATCAAATTATGAACATATAGTTATGTGATTTGTGAATACAGAGTTCAACAATTGGGAATATGAACATCTAAAATTATAAACATATAGCTCTATAATTATGAAATATATTTATAAAATGGGATAAAGGTTAAATAGACCCTCAAACTATACTGAAATGTGCAATTAAACCCTTAAACTTTAAAAAGCTCCAATTAACCCCTTGAACTCCAAAAACTTGAGCAAATAACTACCTTTTAGCTATTTTTACCTGTTCTTTACAGGTTATATTATAGTATTATTATTATTTTGTTTTTTTTTTAATTTTTTTAAACTATTAAAAATATTTTAACACCATTAATTTACTATACTAATAAGAGCCCTAGAGAGTTAGGCTTATAATGGATATAAAAAATGGCGGTCAAATTTTTAAATCAAATGAATAGTTCAGATTGATCATATTTTAATTTTTACTTAAGATTTTTAAATTTATCGTTAATTATATGATTTTCTTTCCTTAAATACCCGCACACCGTTAAACATTATAATCTCCGTTAAAATTTGTAAAATTCTCTGTTAATATTCTCCGTTGATATTGCCATCTGGCTGATGGCATTTAATCAGGGCCGGGCCGGATTTTAGGTTTTTGAGGCCCTGTTCTGTTGATATTGCCATCTTGCTGATGGCATTTAATCAGGGCCAGATTTTAGGTTTTTGTGGCCATGTTCTGTTGATATTGCCATCTTGCTGATGGCATTTAATCAGGGCCAGATTTTAGGTTTTTGTGGCCCTGTTCTGGTACATAACTGAGGCCCTCCAAAATCATAATTTGTAAAATAGACATATGCAAGTTTCAAACCTTTGACCTCTAAGTTGAAATACAATAAATATACATTTTTATCATCTCTTCATAAAACCCTTTAAGATTAATTGAAAACTTTTAGTTTTTTTTTTTTTTTTATTTCTAAACTAGCTTGGTTAAAATTAAATATTGGGCATCTAAAATTTGGGGCCCCTCTAAAATTGGGGGCCCTGTACGGTAGCCCAGTTTGCATAGCCTAAAATCCGGCCCTGCATTTAATTTAATTATTGAAATTGTTTAAGATTTCTTGTGTTGTTAGACTTCTAATAATTCCCTAACAATTCAGCAATTCCGGGTGTGTGTATAGCGGGATAAATCGTTGGATTGGAGTAAATTATAAAAGCAAAACATAACGTATTATTTTTGAATTTTTGACCGCGGGCAATGATGACGAAACTAAGTATGAGATAGGTACGTAAAAAAGGAATAAAAATGGATGTTATCGAGCAAGCGGATGTGCATAGCGTGACAGACGATTGTAGTAAATTTAAAAAACAAAACGTAATGTACTTCTTTTGAATTGTTTACTATGGGCAATGGGAAAACTAAGGATGAGAGTGGCATCTAAACAAGGAATAAAAATGGATGTTGAAACACACTTCAATTGTGTTCCAAGTGTGATCCATTATTTAGTACATAAAAAGGAATAAAATATAAGCACCATTTAATTGGGAATTTTGTTATTTTAATTTTTAGAACAATCGTAATAGGGGGATTGTTCACTGTATTTGAGAAACAATACCATGGTGGATGAGAGAGAAATAAGTGAGAGAAGAATTGGGTTGGTTCTATTATTTGGGGGGTTTTGTCAATTGGTGGGCCCATCATATTAAATAAGAATTGCAGCCAAGGCTATGTGAAAGCCAGCTAGCGCCCAACCGGATTGTTATGTTGTGTAATCGTGTGCCAGCTAGCGCCCAACCGGATTGTTATTTATGATGTGTAACCGTGTGCCAGCTTGCGTCCAACCGGATTGGTGGCGTTTGTAGAGGCCGCGGCTGCCGTGAGCTTGATGGTTGGAGAAAAGAAGAGCTTGATTTCTCCATGCCGGTAATTCAGCGAGCAGGGCTGTATAACGTGATAAACAGTTGGATGGAATAAATTATAAAAACAAAATGAAACGTATTGCTTTTGAACCGTTGACCACGGGCACTAAAGACAAAACTAAGAACGAGATAGGTATAGTACCTAAAAAAAGGAATAAAAATAGATGTTAAAACACAATCTAGCTAGCGGGTGTGTACCGCGTGACAGAAAAAAAAAAAAAAAAAAGAAAGCAAAAAAAAAAAAAAAGCTGACAAGTGTTCAGAAAAAGAAAAAAATTTAAACACAGTACATTTACGTGTCTAGCAGTGCATGCATTGCACGTGCCAGCTAGGTGCGCGTTTTATCTCTTCATTTCTCTGTCGTTTAGCATCAACAATGAGGCCCACAAAAATACAATATTTGCAAGAGTTAAAAACTAACTACAAAAAAAAAAAAAAAAAAAAAAAAAAAAAAAAAAAAAAAAAAAACTCCCACACCAGTTAAAAACCAACCCTTGGTTTTTTTATTTGTAAAATTCAAATAAAATCAAAAGCAAAACGAAATGTACTAATTTTGAACTGTTGAGTGTTGACCACATTCATGCAATGGTGACAAAACTAAAGATGAGATAGGTAACTAAAAAAGAAATAAAAATGAATGTTAAAACAGAGTCCAACAAGTGAGTGTGTATTGTGTGACAAACAGTTGCAGTAAATTACTAAAGCAAGACGTAACGTATTGCTTTTGAATTGTTGACTATGGACAATGATGAGAAAACTAAGGATGAGATAGGCATCTAAACAAGGAATAAAATTGGATGCTGAAACACAATTCAATTGTGTTCAAAGTGTGATCCAATATTTAGTACCTAAAAAGGAATAAAATATAAGTACCATTAAGGGAAATAGATGTTTGGTAAATAGATATTATTTCCTTTCAAAGACAAATTGTTCGCCTTCCCATATTTCCAAATAAAAATAGCTAGTATTAATAAGAAATCAGTGTGACTGGATTGAACTCAACGAGCCGCCTGAGTGCATTATAGATCTCTTGAGAACGGACCGGGACTAGCCTCGCTGGGTCTCCCCCACCCCATTACCCCAAAAAAAAAATAAAAATAGCTAGTATTAGTAATGTATTAATGGTGTTCAAAGAATTGGAATGTCCAAATTCAGACAATTAATGCTGTCTATTTTGTATTGGATAGAATTATTATCATGCCAGATAATGAATCTATCCAAAATTGTATTAATAAATTACTATTATAATGTCGTATTCATGATAAATTTTTATCAAAAATTACATTCAATGCTTTTTTGTGTTAAAAACGACGCTAAAACATGTATGCATCACCATGAAAGAGTGAAAGACTAGTGTTTTTCATGCAAAAAAAAAAAATGATAATAAATAAATAAATAAAAATAAAAAATAAAACTATACATTCACTCAATTCATGAGCCAAAATGAAACTAAAATTAAAAACAATGATAGATGCACACAAAATTTTACTCAAAAAGTGTGATATTAATTTTCATTAAAGTAGGCTAATCCACTAATAATAAAATCACTTGAATATGCAAATGTTACTGACTCTATTACATTGGATTATTACATGACGAATATTAATTAAGAGGTGCCTGCATTTACATCCATTTTCAATTATAACATATTTTCACCTTTTTAATAAATAGTGAGATATAGATAGAAATAGAGTTAATACTCAAAATTGTCCTCGACTATAGTGGTTTTTCTCAATTTTGTCCTAAACGACTTTGGTGTCCTAAACTTGTCCCAGACTTTTGTGTTATTACTCAAAATTGTCCTCCGTTATCTAATCCGTCAAATGGGTGTTAAGTATAGGGTCAAATATGTAATTTTAATTTTGGTCTTCTAGGTCTTCTTATTTCACCGCGCCAACAACAGGTAAAATATATTTTGATCAAGAATTTCCAACCTTGCGACTGCTCTGCTCAAGCAATAATTCCCCATAAATTCGCCAAATAAATTCTTCAATCTGTGTTTATCAAATTCGTCAATCTCTATTTATCAATTTCGCCTTTCTGTGTTCATGGGTTTATCAATTTTGCCAGGTAAATTCGCCCAAAGAAAACCCTAAGGAAGCAAAGCAAATTTCTTCCCTACATTGCAATGGATTCAAGACGACGGAAAAGGGG